GGTTTTGGATAAGTACATTTCAGATTGATCTTTGCTTCTCTGGTCGTCGCTTTCCAAAAAAAAAAAATTTCCGGGTGCTTCGAATCCGGTATCTACTTCACACATGCTCTGTCTTATCCAGGCTCTGCTAAATTATATTACATAAATCACTAGCAGGGTTTTTTAAGCATGCGCTTCCATTTCTCAGCTTACACACTCTCAGTCCCTTGCTAAAACGTCCCAAGTCCAGACCGTGGGAAATATTTCATGTTTGTTCATTCTTTAATAGTATCGTGTTCGTCTAGCAAACCTTATTTATTAATTCTTAAAAACCGTACAGAATTTTGTCTGTACTTGGTTTTTGTTATTACTAGTTTCAGACGAATGTTTTGTTATTTAGTCATAGATGGAAGTTTCCTTCATCACTGGGTTGTGGGCGAGGGTTTTAATACCATTAGACCGTGCATGGATGAAAATTTTTATGGCAAGGACAGTACTCTTTTCTCGCTACGTTCTACCATCGTAGATTTCTGTTAAAGCAGCCTTAAAGTTTTCACAAAGGAGTAGTACCAAAAGATGGATGATCCGTCTTGGGAATCTGCTGCTTTCCGTTTTATTCCAGACGTTAACCTCGATAGTTCATTGAAGGGATCACTGCGTGCTGCTCATTGGTCAATGTCTGATGATGATGCGCTGAATTCAGTTTTCGTTTCCAATACCGATTTACCATATAACGCAATTGGTATTTTTTCAGTATTTATGGAACTTTGGAAAGCTCCTTCACAAAACCATGCATTTCAGGACACCTTTCACCAGTCGATTACAAAAAGGGCGAGAATTTCCCGAAAACAGGTCCAAACAGAGTGTGGAAAGTGTTTTCAAAGGAAGCGTTGAAGAAGCCACAACTGATGGAGTTTTTTTCTGAACTTCGAAATGTGACAAAGGCAAGTAAAAGCTTATCACTGCAGCGTCTCTCTTCATTTTTTGAGAGATCTTAAAGTCTCAGTTTTGCACTTCCAGCAATTAGCCGCTTTACGCTGGTGACACAGCTTCGGTCAGGCTGAGTTGTTGGCGTGAAAAACGACAGCTGACCAAACTACCAGAACAAAGCGACTTAGAAGCATGATTTAACATGCTGCGAAAACTGCGTGATAATGTAGGCCATCGACAGTTTGCAGCGGGCACCCGATCTAGATAACTGCTTACCGTTCTTTTCAACATTTTTAAGGCTGAAATTTTAGATGACATTCCTCGCATATCCAGACTACAAGCACCCGCCATCCGGCCGCCCAAAATTTCGTCTTTCGAAAAATATTTGTTATGTGAACGCAGTTGAATGGTTAGCAAGTTCAATTGAAACAAGTGCTCTTGGTGGTCGCAACTGCGTGAACATGTTGCTTGAAGACCTTGGGCTGCAGATGATCAAAAAACCCATAAAAAACGAGTTGTAGAGAGTATTTGTGAAAAGCACCTTTCAGATCACGAGTTGCTGTGTTCCTTTATT